CCATCCCTGGTTCAGTGCCACAGGTAACCATTTATCCTACATAATCTCTCTGTTTACATATTAATCCTCATGAAGCCTGGTAGTGAATTCATTTAGGAAAAGCAGGACCAACTGGGGCATGGTCTATGTGATGGGGCTGCTTGGTCTTGGGTTGAATCCAAATAGGCAGTGTGCTTTCAGCTCTGGAAGGTGGGCTACCACTGTAAGGGTGAAACCCTAAGGCCTAGAGTTCTGCATTTGACTTCAGGAAGTCCCAGGTGATCCCAAGCTGTTCTCTCTCAATATCTACAGCTCAGAGATGTGGAGACACTTGAAAATTAGCTCATCTGAATTAATTTTTAAACTACATTAACACCTCACCATGGACAATGCTTATTCAGAAATAAATTGGCCATACTTGGATTTACCTTGCTTTGTTTCCATGGTGAAGTTAAATTGAATGAAGGCCACTTGAATTCTGAATGGGATTGTTTGCATGGGAGTTCAGTGCAGTTTAAAATGTTTCATTCTGAAGTCACACCGTTAATTCATTCAGATTTATTTCCCACAAATACCTCTACGTAAATAAGCCATAAGACAGTGTCTCCCTTCAGTTACTGAACATGAGATGCTTTGATATCTCAGTCTCACAAAAAGGTGCCATTAATCCATTTAGAGAGAGCAACCAGAGATCAGTAACTCACCCAAGGCTGCACTGGGCATGTAGAGCAGGGATGGAATTAAACCCTGGTCCCAGAAGTCCTTGGGTAGCACACTAGCTCTTTGGCAGTGTACCTCACTCAGACTGCCAGCAGCCTCAGGGCTTTGTGGAGCACCTGGATATGTGATGCTCATTCTCTTTGTAGCTATCTGCCATCCCTCATTTGAAGCAACGCATAGTACCTTGTAGCCCGGGAGGTGACCTGCACAACTCCTAATGACAGGGGAGGTACCCAAAGGCACCCAGAGCACTGAATGAAACACACACAGCCCATTCCTCATGGGTACAGCAACATTATCTGGAGCATTCTCCTAATACCTTGGCACACAAGATAACCTGCAGAGGGAGGCTGACTGTCAAGTAAATGCTCCCCCAAGTCCTGGTGAGAAGATGGCATTGCCAGAGCCAGTGTTACAGGGCCCCTCAGCATCCCCTCTCCAAGCTGCAGATATTCTATGACCTCTGCAGCAAACAAAGATCATCAGTGAATCTGCAGCATTCTGCTTTCCAGAGTTCCCTGCTGCTGCTGTGCACTCCAGCTGGCTGCAGCCTCCCACCTAGCATTTTGTAATCCAAATTAATCAGGAGCTCCCTTAGCTGGATTTATCCTCTAGAGTTGTATTACCTCAGGCTGATGACTGGGTGTGTGTGGGGAGGGGAAATCTCCTCCATGCCTCTGCTCCCATTATCCCCAAGGGAGGTCTTGGCACCTTTCCTTCAGTCCTACCTCTGATGTTTTGGCACCTTTCCTTCAGCCTTACTGCCTGCCCATGAGAGCGTGGGAATGGCCCAAGTTCTCAAAGGGTGGTAAATGCTCTGCTATAAGATCCAGCTTCAGACAGGCCCGTAGGCCACTGGTAGAGAAGCTGCACCAAAGCTGTGCTCAGAGCTCACAGTGAAGGATCACCCTGGCCTTGCCAGAGCTACAGGGGAAGTCTCTGTGTCCTACCTATGACAAGGGTGTCAGGACCTAGGGAGGAGGCCAAAGTCAATTCTCCCTTTCTTATTCTTCAAAACAGTGCCTCCTGCTGCTGGAAGACAGCTACAAGCTTTTGCATTGGCTTCCACAGCTGACTTGGAGGATGCATTTAGTGCCACCAACATCAACAGCTTCTCTGGCTTTGAAGCTAGGGGAAGGGGATGTATCAGTATGGGAGGGGAGTATAAGGGAGCTGACTCGCTGCATAGAGGCACTAACACTGAAGCCTTGGGTGTGGTGCCTGAGCATCAGATACCCATCTGGCTTCCCTTTTGGCAGGTCAGCTGTCTCCTTCTTTGGCACTGAAGTCTCAGACAGTGTCTACTACATCTTCTCCTGCTTTTCTCCCTGTCCTTGCCATTTACTGCAAGTGCCATCTGGAGACAGAATTAAAAGATAAGGTCTATATGCTCTCCTGTATTTAGAGATGGGAAGAAGCACTATAAGAACCCCAAAATGTCACTTATGGTGCTGGAGAAAAGGTGTTTACAGCTAGTGGGTTAGCGATCTCTGTTTTTTTTTTTTATTGGCCTAGAAGAGCAGCAAAATAGAAACAGAAGAGCATTTGGTAACAAACCTATAGCCCCCACCATCATACTCTTTCCATAGTCATAAATCAAGAATATAATATTCTCTGGCGCCTCAGAGTCAAAAATAGTTCTGGGGAAAAAAGAAAAAAGGCAGCTGCTGAAGTGACCTCAATGAATCAGCAGACACTGCTTGTTTCAAGTTTAAGATCACTTTTATTTTCAGTCTTTTTTTGGCGAGAGAATTTTTAGGTTTCTGCCCAGTAACATAGATTGAATAACTGTAGTTATAGTTCACATACTGCAGCATAAGAAGTGTGATCAGGAGTGCGCCAACACCCATTTGCTGTCCTTTCAGGAGTACAAAACCTGTGGAAAGGTCTATATTGGGCAAGGGATCCTTTTTAGGAGGGAATATTTATTTTGGCAGGGTTTTTTTGTTTTGTTTTTTTTACACAGAACCTGGAAGTGGATTTTATACCACAGGCAACATAAATGTACAATGTGAGAGCTTCCCAGGGAAGTATCTGGCCTTGTGCAGGGGAGGTAGGGATTACTTGCTTGGAGTATCCTTGTGCTTATTGAAGTAAGACATCTTCCTTTTCCTGAAGAGCCTAACCCAGTTCTTTCAACACTGCCCCAGCAGGATTGAGCCTGGTGTCTTAGCTGAACTTTTTGTGTTTGCCAGTCAAGCTCCCCGACATGATGAGACAAAAAGGAGCTTGCTACATGGAAGGGGGAGGACACTGCTGCACAAGCAAAGGAAGGTTTTCAACGATGCCCACTTAGAACATGTTCAAACATTTCCTGTGACCCATTCAGCATATCATCATCTATCACAATGTGGTAAGAGGCTACTACTCTGACAATTTTAAACAGCACAAAAAGGGGGAGGGGAGGAGAGGGAAAAAGAGGGGCAAGTTTATCCCTAGTGCAAGTGCCTTTGGATCCCAAGGGTCACAGCAGGAGCCACCTCAGCTCAAGTTGTCATAACAAAAATGCATTTTAATGTTTACCATTGCCAAGAAACCTGATGATGAAAACAATCTGGGAAACTATCTCCTTCAATTTGGACCCCTGCTGCCTAAGCTCTGGGCTGCCTTCAAAGATGGCAATATAGACAGGCTTGCTTAATCCCAATGCATTTTGAGCGTATACTTAGGTTTAAAACAGAATTCCAAAACTTGATAGGAAGGGTGGGGCGGGAGGGGGGGCAAGGGACAGAAGAGAGAGGTCATGTTGAAAAACTAATCAGTAGACCCAGCTCTGGTGTTATATTAAGCAGTCATCAGACATATGGAGCTATAGAGCCAAATTCACCTCTGGTGAAAATCTACTGACATTAATGCAGTGACACCAGGGCCCTCCAAAACCAATACTGCCATAGTGCTTTAGGAATTCTCCATATCAGCCGCCAGAGTAGAATGTCTCCTAGGAACGAGTGCACACTAAAGCTTTCTGTGCACCAAAGCAGCCTTGGGATTCAGTGAGTTTGTTCACCATGCAGGACATTTAATGGAATATGTGCTGACACAGCTCTCACCTTTCCACCCTCTCACAGATGAGGTATGTGAAGCTCTGCACATTTTCCATCAATAGACACATGCAAAGTAGGAAGTGGTATGGCTACTGTCACTTGACTGGACTACCTTCTCTTCAGTCATAGGGCCCTGCTTTTACATACAATTCAAGATGTAGCAACCTTTTGCCGCTAAGGGCTACTACTTGCAACCCAGTCCCTGCCATGGGCTGCACTGCTGCAGCCCCCTGGTGATCAACAGATGCCACAAAGGGAATAGATAGAAAAAGGCAGGAACCAATGCCCTGGGGACACCTCCTCTGCTGCTTCGTCTGGAGTGTGCTGCTGATTCCCTGAGCTGCTGTGGGCCAGATCCAGTCTCTATACAGGCCAGGCCCAGCCCAAGGGCCATAGGTTTCTGACCTGTCCCTTACACTTTTAAGCCTTTCTGACCTGTGTTTTGAAAGGACACAGATCAGCCAATGACCAAAGAAACCAGAACTTGATTAGTGAACATAATGGTGTGCTCTGGTTGCTAGCATGTCTACTGCTGGGAGCTGAATTCACCATTAATGTTAATTCTTGAAGCAGGTCATTCCTGGGAACAACCAGCAGTCTCCATCCTCTTAATAATACACTCGCAACAAACTGCTGGAGCTCCTGCACACCTGGCGGCTCTCAAGCTATAGGGCAAGTTACTGCTGGATGGTGGCAGTTCATTATCTCTCCTGGAAAGCAGACAGAAAGCAAGATGCCTCTCCAGCACCTCAACCAGCGACTCTGAGCCATCGCTGTTCCTTAGCCTGCCATAGATTGTTCTGACTGAGCCATCTAGCTCATCATGCTCCCTGTCACTCTGCTCAATGCCTCAGCACCACACAGAAGTGAGATCATCCGCACAAAAGCATCCTGCCTCCAGTTAGCTCTGGGTGGCAGGAGCTTCCTCATACTGGGTTTTTATTTTGGTTTTCTTGGGAGTTAGAAGAAAGCAATGGATTCTGACAGTTGCCCAAATCCTTGTTTCCTGTACAACTCCCCAGAGATGAGGGACTCTCCAGAAGCAACTACTCTTGCAGGCTGGTGAACAAGGTCTGCCCAGAGCATAGCAAACTGGAGCCTGCTTTGTGAGCCAACACCATGGGTGAGGGATACCAAAATACAGTGATGTATGCTTAAACATACCAACCACAAAACAAAAGCCCACGTTTCTCATGCAGAATATTGCACCGAGTGTTCACTAATGCTAGAAGCTTGAAAACTGCATAGAAAATTAAATGGCTTTGCATATTACAAAAATAAAGATAAAATGCATCTTTAATGCTAATTACTGAACAGGAGAGAAGGTCAGATGAGTGATCCCTCTTTTGCATTACAGAGAACTGAAACTGGAGTGCTCTAAATACTGCCATCATTATGGTAATTATGGCTTTTATGTGCACGGCAAACAGAATCCCTGAGAAGCCATTCACACCATTTTTCTTTTTTGTAGAGCAGCTCTTTTCTGGAGGATGATCATGGTTCTGAGTCCAGGTGGTAAAACATTTGCTCTGTTCCTCAATAGGCCAAGGCTTTTATCTCTTGAAAACAACTCAATGCATTCTCCTCTGTGCATCCATAGAGCCCCCCTAGTTACTTGGTCCTCCCAGTGGGAAAGATTCCAGTTGTGTATTTTCTTTGCTCCATATGACATCACAGCAACAAGTCACTGGTTCTCCCTATGGGGAAAACAGAGACATATAAAAGATAGTTCAGAGATCAGGGGGCTGTTTCCAAGTACAGGAAGTGATAGAAGATCCTGGAAAGAAATCCTTCCTGTTTATACAGCCCCAACCTTGGACAGGAGCAAAACTGGTGGCGACATGGGTGTTCTAGGGCCCTCCAAAACCCTCTAGAACTCACTGGAAAGTACCAAGAGCTGGAGAACCCACAGATGATAGAAGTGGCCTTGCCATTATGCCCCTTTGGACAACTGTGATCATCTTCTCTAGTCTCCCCACTCTCATGCCCTTCAGCATTTGCAAGCAATTGCTTATGGGGTTTAAGATAGTAACAAGATCACAAACGTAAACTTACATTAGTGCGCCAAAGGGGATTTAAATCCATATACCCCGAGATGACAAGTTAGTGAATTAAACCACCTTGCCAGAGCTTTACCTCCCACCCTGCCCCCAATATTCTATTTTCAGAGCAGCCAATTTTTAACTGACCCAGAACTTTATTGGAAGTTTTCCTCTGAAACCAAGAGAGACTTCCCATAAAAAAGGCCTTCCAAACAATCTTACACTCAGATGAGATTTGTTAAATTATACCAAATTCTGCCATCCAGGCTGCTCAAATGATGAAGTGGGAAATCCTGTATCCTTATCCATTTTAAAATGTATTTTCAGTTAAAAACATAACTTGTCTTTCTTAAATAAGATGCATCTATACAGGGGTGTCATCACTTCATGTCCCACACAGATTCTGGCTATTATACACGCAGTTACTTAGGACAAGAAGTTAGCTTGAAGCAGATCTCCACATAGGAAGGGCCTAGGACTTGGGGAGTTTCTACAGCAGTGATTCTTAACCAGGATGGTATGGCATCATTAGGTGCCTGGAGATCCTTTCAAGGGTGCCCTGGGGTGCTATGCAAATGTTAATACTATTAGGGGTACAAACAAAATTCATAAAATAACCCCAGAGATTTCAGAGAGGAATGCATAGTGTCCAAAACATTCTGACCTGCTGCGATCTTCCTGAGTTCTTTGCAACAGAAAAACTGCTCTATTATTTTTCTGTAGATAAAAAAATGGGTGAAGACTAAGAATTAACATTTTCCAAGGGGTACCTTGAGTCTAAAAAGGTTGAGAACCACTGCTCTACAGCAGAGATGCACCACAACTGATGATTCAGTATTCATCTGATGTGGCCCTGTGATGCATGGTAGGCCTGTGCAGAGCGGCAAGTATTTGCTTCGGATTCAGCTGAATCAGATCCAAAGATTCGATGCCGCTCCAGAGATTCAACCATAGACTAAACAGGCAACAGTCCTCACCACTCGCCTTCCTGCCACACCTGCATCAGCACTGGGAATGGGGGCTCTGCCCTACTGCCACTTGCCAGCCGGCATGAGAGGCGCGGGGGGCAGGCGCTGCCGCCACTTGCCCACCCAGTGCAGGGGAAAATGAGATGCAGGCGTAGCACCACTGGAAGCAGGGGCTATACCCTGCTGCTACTTGCCCCCTTCTGCCCGGAGCAAGCTGAGCCCACATTCCGCCCCCTCACCCCGGCTGGGCAAGCAGCAGCAGGGCAGAGCCCCTGCTCTGAGTACTGCCACGCCTGCATCCCACTGCACCCCACCCCACTCCCTGAGTCCTGCACCCCCTGCCCTGGCTGGGCAGCTTGTCCCAGGCCCTACCCCAATCCCTTCCTCCCCCCTCTGCCCACCACAACAGACTTACCAGCTGGAGGCAGCTGCGTCCTGTCCAGCATGGTGAGGACTGCTGCCTGTTTAGTCTATGGCCAAATCTCCAAATCAATTCAGAGGCTTCCGATTCAATTCAGAGCTCTTAACTGGTCTCCCAATTTGATTTGGATTCAGAGATTCGGTTGTTGAATCGGGCTGAATCTCCTCCATATTGAATCGGCTACCGAAACTTCGCACAGCCCTAATGCTCTGGGTACAGGAAGTGCAGATAAACACTATGCTCATCTGGAAAGGAGGGTCTGACTCTCTGTTTTAATGTGTGCTATCGGGTCATGCAACATTTATATCACTTTTAGCCAGAAGGCACTCTTGTAGCTCAGTGCACAGAGACTTCCATCAGACCAGGGTCCCGTCACATCACTTCTGCCCCCCCTCTGCCAGCCAAGGGCTCTGGAACTTTCAACGTATTTGAGACCGTTCACTACAAAGACCTGGTTAAGCAGCCAACCTATGGCCTACGGATCGCTAATGGCAAAGATGGTATAAAAATGACTGAGCAGACCTTTTTCACAGCTTTTGGCAAACAGCTGTATGGTAGGCCCAGCACTTTTAACGTACATACCAGACGCAGTATCCTTACTAGACACACACACATTATTCTTGTCATCACAGCACCTGTGACACCTGAAAATGTTGACACTTCCCTTCAAGCAAGATAAACAGCATCTGAGAAAACAGAGCCTGTTTCAAATAAAGACAGCTTAAAATATTATGAAGCCACATATCCAGCTAATAGTCACATACTTCAGATTTGTAAATCATGTTCTACAGGCAGTGACATGGACAGAGGTCAGCGTCTGATGTTTGTAGAGTGCCTACTACTACTACTACCACCACCACAGCCTCTGGGGCTACCTTACGCAGTACAGAAAGGACCAAAGGCATTTTGATGGCAGGACTGCACAGGGAATTAACCCTTAGGGACATTTACAGAACTGGGAATTAGGGACTTTAGGATACCAAGACTTCAAGCATGCAACTAGAGAGGGAGAACAAGCATCCAACACAGGCTCAGATTCTCACTTTTCTAGTTACACCCACAAACGCATTTCTCGTCCCCTCTTAAAGCTGCCAACTGGACCAGTCCTCTCCTCATCCCTGGGCACCAGCAGTGCTGAGCAGTGAGATCTCCCACCCAAAAACTATGTGCCCATGGGGCACACCAACTCCCTGACCAAGGTTGAAGAGTTGGGCCAGTCTCTTCTTCCCTAAGGAGCACCACAAGCATCACTCCATTCCTGATCCCCAAATGCAGCTCACAGTCTCAACAGGTCCCTACTGTTTTCCTTGGTACCCAGTCTTCTCACAGTTCACCTCTCACAAGCAATTCTTTGGTGTTTTATGGACCCTAAAACGGTCCAGAATGAGATAAAACAGAGCAGCAGCATTAGCACATGGGAAAAGAAATATCGTCTTTTAAGATAACACACCCAGCTCCTTATCAGGAGCAGGAAACTGAGAGGAACACCCCTCTGCCTCAGCTCAAAAAGCCACAGGGAGCATCTACAATAACCAACAGCATAACTTTAAGGAGCAGTTCCTTAGGTCTCTATCAGGGAAAGAACAAGGCCCTGGTCCCAGACACGCTGAAGACAGGAGGGAGGTTGTGGGGGGCTGAGAGCAGGGGCAGAGAATGATGCTAAGCTCTACTGA